ACGGTGGGACACTAATGTTCCCACAGGCCAGTTTAGGAAGGCTGGATCTATACCAACGCACAAAGTATTGATAACAAAAATGAATCAACAATGATAACCAAAAAACAACAACAAAAACCTCACAAAACAAAAAGTATGGGGAATAAAACTAACCAGAAACAAAAATAAATGTGTGCAAGTAAATACTGTCTCACAGAGAGACGAGATTTTGGGGTGTAGGATTTAGGACTGGGGCAGTACAATATAAAAGGACAAATTCAATGCAATGATCTCAAGTAGCATTTCTGCGGAGAAGGAAAACAAGGAGGTTCATGAAAGGGGGACTGGAATCACAAAGGGGAACATTTGATGATAAACTAAGGGAAGGAGTACGGAAGAGGCGTAACCATGGGAGCACGCAGCAACACATCAGCAAGACATGCTCCCACGACAGTAATGCCTGATTTCATTTCCTGGGAAATCCTTTTGATAAAATCGGAGGATATGAAAAATTTACACTGTGCTTTGCTGATAATTTTAATCTCTCAATAAATTGAAGATGCAGTGAGGAATGGGATTTAGTGTCAGTTTAATTTTAACAAATATGGGAAGAGTGGTTGGTCATTTAGAAATATCAGAAACTTTGGGAGAAAGCCAAGTGCTCATAAAATCCAGCCTCTCCATAATCCTGTCAGAAATGTTTTAGAGAAGATTTCTTGGAAGGAAGGTTACACTAAAGAATCTTTAAGTCCCTTCTGAAACATTAAAGACTGCCTCCAACATTCTTCAGGCACACTGAAGAACTCCAGAGGTGGCCAGAATGACAGCTGAGTAAGAAGTGGCATCCTGTAGCTCTTGTGGTTATGCAGAAAAGAAACAAGAGTTCTGCACATCAGACAGTCCGAAGAGTATAAGATACTTTATATAAATGCAGCATAGAACTAAAAGAGTTACAGCTTCATTAGTCATCAAAGAAATGCAAATTAAAGCCACACTGAGATACCCTCTAACTCCAGTTGGAATGGCCATCATCAACAACTCAAAAACAACAGATGCTGCAAAGGATGAGGTGAAAAGGGGTCACTTCTACACTGTTGGTGGGAGTGTAAACTAGTACAGCCTCTGTGGAAAACAGTTCAGCGATTCCTAAAAGATCTAAAATTCGACCTTCCATATGACCCAGCAATCGCCCTTCTGGGAATATACCCAGAGGAACTCAAACCACTTTGTGGCAAAGATACCTGCACATGCATATATATGTTTATTGTCGCATTATTCACAATATCAAAAACATAGAAACAACCGTGCTGCCCATTGAAAAAGGACTGGATTTTTAAAACGTGGTACATATACACAATGGAATATTATGCAGTCATAAAGAAGGATGACATTATGAATTTTGCAGCAACTTGGATGGACTTAGAGGCTATAATACTGAGTGATCTATCACAGAAACAAAGAACCAAGTATCACATGTTCTCATTCATAAGCAGACCTTGAACAACTATCATAGCACAATAAGAAAGAGATTGGCAGTAATGGAAACTTCCAGGGGAGGACAGGGGCAGGACTGACAGCAGTGGGAAACTGCCAGGGCACAGGGAGGCACACTTCATCAACAGGGGTTCCTACATAATGAACATTTGTATATCTAACCCTGAATTGTACCCCTACATATTTAAAATTTAAAAAAAGAAGTAAGAGAGCTAAACAATGGGGTGCTATAATAAAAACAGATAAAACAGTAGAACAGAATAGAACTTCAGAAATAAAATATAAATGACAACTTAATTTCTGATAAAAAGCAATGGGGACATGAAAAATCAGGACCATAACAACTTCCAGAGCAGGGAAATCTTTCTTTATTTAGAAATGGAACAAAAGAATTCATAGAGGAAAAATTAAATATAAAAAATTGTTGGCAGGGTATGGTGGCTCAGCCTATAATCCCAGCACTTTGGGAGGCTAAGGTGAGAGGATTGCCTAAGCCCAGGGGTTTGAGACCAAACTGGACAACTTGGTGAGACCTCGTCTCTACAATAAATCACAAAATATTTAACCAGGTGTGGTGGTGTGTGTCTGTAGTTCCAGCTACTTGGAAGGCTGAGGCGAAAGGAATGCCTAAGACCAGCAGATCAAGGCTGCAGTGGCCATGAGTGCGCCACTGCACTCTAGCCTGGGTGACAGAGTGAGACTCCAACTTAAAAAAAAAATTTGTTTTATTTATTGATTTATGAGTCGGGGTCTTACTCTGTCACCTAGGCTGTAGTATAATGGCACAATCATAGCTCACCACAGCCTCGACCTTCTGAGTTCAGGTGAGCCTTCTGCCTCGGTCTCCTGAGAAGCTGAGACTGCAGGTGCATATCACCATGCCTGGCTAGTTTTTTTTATTTTTTGTAGAGACAGGGTCTCACTATGTTGCCTAGGCTGGCCTCAATCCTCCAGCCTTGGCTTCCCAGAGTGCTGTGATTACAGGCGTGAACCACCGCACTTGACCTCATTAAAATTATTTTAAAAGGACCAACATTAAAAGGCAAAAAACAGACTAGATAAATATTTTTAAAAATAAAATGCTCAAGGGTTAAAATGCTTAACCAATGCCCAAATTTAAACCAATTAAAAAAAGTCACCAAGAAACCAATCTGATAAATGGATACATTTTTATTTATTGTAGCTTATCACATACAGGTTATATAAGTTATCCCAATTGATTCTCACAACATTTCTGTGAAATAGATATAATCACCATTTCATAGAAAAGGTAAAATGCGTTTTGCAAGCTCAGAAAGATTATGTTTGTTAAAGAAATTTGGCTAGTCAGAGTGACAAAATGGAAACAGTTTAAATGTAAACAATAGAATGGTTAAACCAGGGAAGACGTATTTGATGGATTATTAAAATTTTTTGATATAAAAGAACAAAGCAGAAAAATAGTTTAGGACAAGATTTTTAAAATGCATAAAAGAAAATTTTGTATTCAATATGATCAAAATATGTGGAAACAAGACTGGAAGAAACTATATAAACTTGACCCTGAGATTGCCAACAGATGTAGTTGCTGGTGGCCCTGAGAACAAAGCAAAGCACAGTTAAATTGTCAGGCTGTGGAAATGAAGGGAAGCTCAAAAAGACCCTGAAAGGCTCAAAAACAGTTTAAGCAATTTGGCTAATACAGGAGATAGAGAACGTAATTCAGGACAGATACGGTAAATCTTCTATAACGAGTAGGGCTGTAATTCTTTTCATGGCAAGTTGCTGGGAAAATTGTAAATTGGTCATGGTTAAAATGTCAGAAGACTCAAAATTGTAAGAAAAAATAATGAATTATTAAGATTTTGGCTTACTCTAGAAGTCACACTACCGTTTCTGAAAAATGTAGGAGGTGAGACAAGAGTAAAGTAATTTCTGCTATCAGAATATTTCAATTAGGCAGCTGGCAAAACTTGGGTGGAAGAATAGAAATCTTTACTCTCAAGTTATTAGAAGGAAGTATATGTCTAAGTTAGCTTTAAGGACAAGGAACCTGGATAAACACCAGGTTTCTATGGTTATGCTTAAACCATAGAAAATATCATTTATGTACACCCCCCACAGTAGACTAATCTTTGATTGACAAATTTGATAGCATTTTGGAGAATTTTTAAATATCCTAAGTATAACGTTTTATAACTCAATTTTTGTCTTCCCCTTTTCTCTATCTTCTACTTTCCCGTCTCTTGTCCATACTCATTTTTTCCTTGTTATATTAAAAAAGAGACATTATATATTTATATATGTGTGTATATATAGTGGTATGTATGTATCTATATATGTACATACATATATGTATAATTTACTAAATCTAATTTAGAATGTTTCATCTATGACCACTGGAAAAAAAAAAAGAAAATCCCAAGTTTGGTCAAGGAAGAATACAGGTTTGTGGTCATAGAATTTAGTAACATATATCTGCCCTCAACTAACTTGATGGCCACAAGTGAACTGTTCTTCTGCCATTATTACAATAACCGTCACCTTTACAGTAGATACAAATGAGAGAGTAGATCGTGTCTGTCTTATTTACCACCGGAGCCCCTGAACCAGGATAGTACCTCAATGAATATTTGTTGCATGAGCAAATGAATGAATGCGTGAGTAAATACATAAATTCTATTTATCTCTACAATCATAGCTCAAGCCCTGCCTTCCTGATAACATCTTTCCTCAGAGCCCCAGGAATTGATCTGATTATTACAGTATTAGTCTGCACCATTATTTAACACCTGATTCTACACATTATTTTATTGTTGTTTTCAGTTGCTGGGTTTTCTCTCTTTTTTTTTTTGGTTTTTGTTTTTCTATTTAGGGAAGCATACTCCTCAAGGACACGTTTATATCATTATTCAATTTCCCAAAGTACTTTTTACAAGGCATATGTAAAAATTCTCAGTAAACACATGTTAAACTCAGTGATGATCTTTGACTTTGTGATATTTCTAAACACTTTCTCTACTGAATGCATTGTATTATGATTCCAAAGTGTAGTGGGCAAAAAACAGGAAATTTAGTGTCAGCTGAGCTGAGTTTCTAGCTCTGTCACTTCAATGCTGGAAAACTTACCTAAATTCTGGTCTGTTTCCCTATCTGTAAAATGAAAACATGAACAAAAGCAATAACAAAAATAAATAAGTACCTATCACAAAGAGGAGACTGTGCAATCAAATGGGATAAAACACATGAATGACTCTTGCAAATCGAAAAGCAAATATTAGTCATTCTGTTTATCAATTTAAAAATGCAATTGATGCTACAAAGCTGCATATAGCAATAACTGTTAGGGTGGCTTTTTCTGAGAATGGCTATTGGACAGAAGAGAAAGGTGAGGAGGAAAAGAGTCCCAAGCACAACCTGCCAAATATGCCCCAGTCATAAATCAAAGACCATGTTCAACACTGGCTGTGAGGAGAAATGACTGGGCACCTGTCACCCACACCCTGTGGCACTGCTACAAGCATCTGCAAAACCCGTAGCAGACTTACCAGACACAAGCTGCTGTCCAGGCAACCCCACGGGAACCATGCCCAGGTTATTCATGGCTGTGGCCCAAGCGGTGGGATCTGTCACGGACATGTTGAGCTGGGTTGTGTCTACTGCTATACTCCCCAAACCATCGGCTGCTGTAGAGAAAGAGAAACCATGACTGAGAGTCAATAGACAAGGGTGTTTGTTTGAAAGGAAATCACATTTCTCAAAATATGAGGCTTCATTTAGCACATTCCCAAACGACAAAAAAATAGAGCACTATAATCTACAGCCATGTTTTCTCTAGACATAAACATAAAGCGTTTCCAAATACTTTCTGTGAGGAAACTTAATGACAGGTCGTTTCTATTATACAAACAATGCCATTAAGGAGGTACCCCTGGAAAAAATTGAAGAATCACTTCCTTCTCCCAGTGAAACATTGGTTAAGTTACAGGGTTGAGAGACAGCAGTAATATTCTCTTGGTAAAACAAGTCAATGGGCTTAGTAGACTAAGAAGACACAAATTCATCTGTTTCCAAGTGTAATTCTTAAGCAGGCACACCTTCTAAATATCTAATATACAAACAGTTGTCAAGTAGTAAAATGGGTTCTGACTGAATTCATTAAATGTTTCTGTGTAATATATTCCCTCCTCTACAAAGTTTCACATTAGGTGCAACACAGGTGTCTACCTAAAGTGACTTTTCCAAAGTATTTCTAAACAGATAAACAAATAAAAATTAAAACCAAATTGCACAGAGCTAAAAGCAAACAAAAAAAAGCACAACATGTCAAAGTTGATATCCTGCTCTTTGATTTTCATTAGTTCTATGGCCTGATTTCTTTTTTTTTTTTTTTGGGTTGGAATCTCACTCTGTCGCCCAGACTGGAGTGCAGTGGCTGCTCCAGGCCACCGCAGCCTCGACCTGCTGGGCTCCGGCGATCCTTCCGCCTCAGCCTTCTGAGTAACTGGAACTACAGGCGCGCGCTACCACACCCGGCTAATTTTTTGATTTATTGTAGAGATGAGGTCTTGCTGCCCAGGTGGGTCTTGAACCCGCAGGCTCAAGCAATCCACTCACCTCAGCCTCCCAAAGGTGCGGGATTACAGGCTGAGCCACCGAGCCCTGGCGGCCTGATTTCTTTAAGGGCCCAGGTTCATTGCATATTTTCCATTGTGAGGTGAGCTTTACCACTAAGAACTCAAAAGGCCTTATTTATATCCGTCACTAGCATTTTACCTGCAGCCATCATCTGAGGAAGCTCCTGGGGGTGCTGGGTGATGTTCTCAACTCCACCTGCATCTACCATTGAATTCTGAAGGTCCTGGGGGGCAGGAACACTTGGATGACTGTGTGCAGGGTCCCCTCGGAGATCATCGGACTCTGCAAAAGGGGAAAGGATTGTGGTGAGAAACCATAATAGTTAACTGAGAGTGAGCTTCAGGGAACAAACTGCTGTTTATTCAGAAACAAAAACAAGCAAACAACCGTTTCCAGTCTTGGGCACAGAAGCAAAGTTGCTTCCTGTTCCTCAGTGGCTGTCTTGGGGCTCAGTTTCGGAGTCTTGTGAGATGTGAGGGTCAACTTGTCGATTCCCCTGGAGCCTGGGCTGGCTGAATAAACAATGCACTTCGTGAGCACGTCAGATGCCTCGCCTGCTCTTGAAGAGCTTCACAAATGGGGGCTTATCAGTCACTACACAGCCTTTTCTGCACATCACACATCAATGGAGAGGGCAGACTCAGGGCTAAATAAGATTTTTTTGTTGTTGAGTTAAAAAAATTAATTGATGCTGTTATTTTGGAAAATGGTCATTTGTGAAATGTATTCAGAGAGGGGGAAAAAGGCTGGGATGAGAAAGAAAAAAGCAGGAACCATGAGGCAGAAAAGGAGGGTACCTGGATTACAATAGTCCAGGAAGGCAAAAGGGAAGAATAGCACGCTGTCCACAAAGGAAGGTCTAGAGGCTATTAGGCAGAAAACAAAAAGCGTTTGTTGTTTCAGCTCTATGGCAAGATAAAATGTAACTGGCCACAATTTGTTTTGTCTGAATTTTCCTTAGAATTGCACAGCTCCTACATATGTATCTTAATAGACTTTTAAGACACTTTTCTAACAATTGGGAGTAATAATAAAACAGTAAATTTACAAAGTACCCTCTAGATCACACTACATATTTATAAAAAGGTATGCCTTCTCTCTATCTTTATAAATGCAAAAACACAGAGCATTCATACCTTCATTGTTTAAGTGTACTTGTACCAGCTTGAAACTAAGATAACTGACCTGACAAATTTGATCTTAAGTAAATTTAATACAACAACCGAGTCTTAAAAACTTATTTTTATTTTGGTATAAACTTAGAAACTTTTCAAAACCATGTTTCTATTAATGATAATTTTAGAAACAGATGTTATGGTTTGTTTATCAGCGTTCCTAATGTAAAGTTTGAAGCTTTTATGGTATGTTCTTTTATTTCTTTAATTCCTAAGTGTAAGAATTTGTAGTCCCTTGAGTACTATACTGTCAAAAATAATTTCTTGTTAGTTAAGCAGAAGTTTAAGTCAAATGGAAGTTTGGGCTTCAATATCTCAATGACAGGTGGATAATGAGTGAGTGGCTTCTATGGTCTCAACAAATTTCTAGTCCTCTCTTACTAGAGGGGTATGTGAGAGAGTGGGGGATGTTTTTTCAGCTGTCTATCAGGAAGATGAAACATCTTCATCATTCAGTCAGTTGATGATTTCAACTTTGGGAGCAAACTGTACTCAGAATAAATATTTTATACCTTCCCATTAAACTCAACTACCCAAATGAATTCAGGACTTGCATATATATTGTGCTTCAGTTATCTTAGGCAATGGGTGCCATCACACAGCATTTCTCACCAGATAAAATCAATGAAATGCTTAAGGAATATGTAGTTAACCTAAATGTCTGCCCTGTAGCTGTCCATTCACCAACAGTATCTCCATGATGAAACCTCAAAGCACTTTTGTCTTTCCACTTCCAACCATTTCATAACACCTAGGTAGAGACTCGCTAGATTGTGTTCATTCTTTTGCTCAAGTGGCCCTGTAGTAGAGCTGTTTCAGATCGTCCCAAGGTCACTAGTTGTCTTACTTATCTCCTTAAATGAAGTTTAGTTGGCTGGCTTCCTTCTAGCTCAGATTCTCCCCAAATGGGCATTAATCACATGCTTTTTCTGTCTGTGAGCCTGCAGTTCTAGAACATCCCTTTGCCTTGTGGGCTTTGTGACTTGTGCCTGACCCACCATGTTTCACCTTGACTTTTTGCTACAGTATTTTAGGGATGACATGAGCTTTTCTTGGCTCCATAACTGTCTGCTCCAATTGTGGTTTTTACCTTAGTGATTATAGTACGATAAAGGAGTACCAAGTGTCCTGGAGGCCCACAGAGCCTACCGAGCACTTTTCATGTCCATCTTAACAAACCGCTACTGTTTCACTGGAAAAAAAGCATTGCTCTGTTGGCAAGATGTGGTATGTAAACCTAGATTTATCCCCCAATTGACCTCTGTGATATTCAATTTATTCCATCTCTTCAGTCTCCCAGTCCAATGGTTTCAATGACATACAATCTCAATGTGGCTACCATGTCTGGGATGGAGACTCTATAGCAAGCTCTGTCATGTTTTAGGAATTTCCAGTAGTCTCAAGGCTGCCATAACATTCTTTATAAAATTTAAATTGATTTGATCACTCACCTTGGAAGAAAGGTGATACTTTAATTAATACACCCTTTTAATTTATGATAGTTGCAAGAACTATTTTGTAGTCTGTTAGCATCTACTGTTCTTATTGAATACCTGCCTCTTTAAATGATTCAAAACCATAATGCCTAATTTATCATTCAAATCAATTTCTCTCCCTTAGTTTTGTTATTTCTAAACTATAGAAAAGATTAATATTCTTAATGATGTTTATTTATACACAGAGATGTGGGGAGTTAAAAATTATAGCTAATAAGGTACTTCAAATATAGTAGGTGATAATTATTATTATTTTATTTGGAAGTGTAGTGTTTCCATTAAGGTACCCTGGGATCTTTGTGTTCTGGTGGATAATTATGTCATTAATTCTAAAACAGTGAGTAACAATTGATATTTCTAAAAGTAAGTATTGCCCTAGTTTTCTGTGCTACACCTAAATTGTAGCAGAATATTTCATTTCCCACAGTTTCTCTATAAAATAATATAATGTAGCCTAAAAGACGTATGAAGATTCTCTCTCTAGGTTTTCTTCTGCCTATACAACTACAAAAGCTTTCAAGAAATTCATGACCAATTATGAAATTAGTAGTTCCTATTTATAGCTTTTAGTGAAGTATGATCACTACAAATAATCTGATATACAAAATGCCAAGGATGAAACTGCAGCTTTGTCTATGGCTTAATAGATATCTAACCTGTTTTTGTTATGTTATATTCAAGTACAAAATCTCATACCCAATTTCCTAACTGTTCAGCAAGATACATTTTTACTCAGTATTTCACTGGGCTATGTTAATGGAACAAATAGTTTTTAAAACATGGAAGTATTATTTGTCCTAAAAAAGGGCACAGGCTATTCCCACTATTAATAATACAAACTCTACTAACCCTTTCCAAGTTTTGCAGGTATCAAGGACAATACATTATGAATAATAAAACTCACCTGGATTCCTATTAAAAGGGAGTAGCGATCAACTAGGTATTAAAATTCTTTTTATTAAAAAAAAAAGAAAGATTTGGTTGATCTAGATTCTTAGGTTCATACCTACTTCAATGGCAAAAATGATTATGATGAGAGAGTCAGATTTATTAATGTCTTATAAAGAGTTGATACCAAAGGAAAGTTATTTCATATGGTATCTACAACTTTCTTATTTTATAAGCACTCTTATTAGCATTGTTATGGTTTATATTTATAGTAAAAAAAAATGCATTTTCATCCAAAGTTCACTACCTCTTCCAGCACTATGAAAATACCTAACTTTAGTCTTCATGTAATCAGTAACATACTCCCTTGAGGTTATAAAAATGTTCCACAGTTTAAAACAATGCAGAATATTGTTAAATATATGTTGCTTATAAATTAGCTCCATGATTTTTAAAATAACTGTCTATGAATAATAAGGGAGCTATTTCTGCTTCCTATCATGGTAAACTAAGTAACTGCAGACCAATCTTCCCATTGAGAAACAACTAAAACTCTTAACATCTTTCACAAGTTTTGTAGAATTCTCACAAACTTATCTTCAAATATAAAAGAAGCCCAAAGGACATGCTCCAATTACTGCAGAGTTACTAAAGAGGCTTCTAAGGAGAACGGGTCCTGCTAACTACTGGGCATTTTCGTTATACTAATAAGGGAGATGAGTGGAATCTGCAAGTTTGGGAGCAGAGCAGTATTGCTCTGCAAAGTGTGGTAAAAGAGAACACAAAAGCCCAGTGCTGTGAGAGGGAAGAAAGAAGGGTTCTTCGCTGACCACCATGGAAAAATGAAACTACGGAAGAGATGAATGACTTGAGTAGAATTTCAGGTGTTCATTGGGAAGCATACAAAGTATCTTTCCCCTGCCCCCTTCTCAGAAATGTGAGTGAAGTCTGCTGCTCCTTAATTCCCAGATAAGAGTAAATTTTGGGATGTGGGAGGGCACTTAGAGGAGACAGCTTAAAGAGAATAGTGAAAAGGTAGCTGATAAGGAGGATTATCTAACATCCTACATGATAAAGTTTCAAGTCTGTTAAATACACAGGATGCTAATTACTTATTAATGATCAATATCCTGCTGATTAGTGGGAAATAATAGGATTAAGGTTTTGAAGAAGAGTTTAGATTTGCAGATTATGGGGAATTTCTGATGAGATGGCTGTGAAGTAGAAATGTATCAAATAAAGCTAAAATGCTTTTTCTCAGTGATGGAGAGAGAAGTTACCTCTTGGAAACATATGGGCAGAGGATGGAACTGGGTGAAGATCAGTTCAGATAGGAGTAAATTCTATAGTACTTAGTATCAAATTCATAAAATCAAAAGGCCTTCTTTAATGTCTAATCTGTTACTCATATAAAGATGCTCCTCAATTTATGATGATGCTATGTTTCAATAAATCCATTAAGTCAAAATATAGTAGGTCAGAAATATATCTAATGCTGGCAATATAGCAGACAGTCCCCAACTTGCAATGGTTTGACTTTAATTTTTTGACTTCATGATGATGTGAGAGCAATACACATTCCGTAGAAACCATAAGCCCATCCTTGACTTGGATCTCTCTATGACTCATGTTTTGACACCAAGAAAAATACTATTTAGCATTACATACATAAGTGTAGAGAAATAACAGAAGCAAAATTGTTTTTCTCAAGAAGATTTTGCCT